AGGGGTAGGGGTCCCCCTCAGAAAGATGGCTCCTAAAGGTTGGGAGTGAAACCGAGTGCTTGTAGACATGTCCTGGGGTTGATCTTGCTGTTATGTGCTTGGTTGGATGAACTGCAGGTCTCCCTGACTTAGTGCCAGATCCCTATTACATCCAGGCGTCCACATATGTCCAGAGGATGTCTATGTATAACTTGAGATGTGCGGCTGAGGAGAATTGCCTGGCAAGGTAGGCAGTGCCTTGGCTCTTTTCTTTCCTCTGTGGGCCCTTGTGCCTGCACTCATGCTGGAGTATCTGAGGACACAGAGAGAGAACAATATAGAAAAGTAAGACTTGAGTGCCTCATAAAATACCCCAGCTTGTAACCCTTTCCTAAGTCTTTGCTTATATGCATGTTTTGTCATTGGTTTTGATGACAAAACAGCCCTATTGGAGAAAAAAAAAAAACTTGCTTTGAAGAAACTACACTTTAAAGAAATTATACTGCACACTTCTATCACTAGGTTTCTTTGAACACATCTGAATTATGCAAAACAATGGTCCCCAAAACCCCACTTAAATGTGATCATTTTCATCTTCTTCCTCGAATCCTAAAAAATCACATTCTACTCTTTAAAAACATTCTCAACCAGCATAAGTTACTATTAAAATTGTTTCTGGACATATGTATTGTAATGTCTCTTAAATACTTTTCAGATAGATTTTAGTCTTTTCAAAGTCTTTTAAGAGCTTGAAATAATAGCTTTGCTATCAAGTTAGGTCATATCCACTGGGCAAAGAAGGATTTTTCCTGTTTTGTTTGGAATTAAATCACTCATGGCTGTTAGCCATTTTTACTTTCATGATACCTTATAATACTTAACAGATTTGTTTATTTACCAGCATCATAAATTGATGTCGGACTGTTTCCAGGGTCATGCTCTTGTTAGTTTGTGCCAGCAAGAAAAAAGGGCTTAAGAAACAGCATATTTAATGTTAACCTTAAAGACTATTTGAAATATTCTTGTTGACCAAGACATCAATTTATTAAAATATTCCAATATTTAAAGGACTGTAGTTTATAGCTATATAAAATAAAATAAGCTTGGGACTTTTTTTCCCTAAAATTACAACAGAAAAAAAGCAGTTTGTGGGTATGAGATTGTCAAATAAGTTGTTTTGTTTTATAGCAACTAGTGTAATTGCTTTTTTGTTACCAGAGCAATTTTAGAGCTAACCAGTTGCTCTGCATAAGAGCTAGAGCCAAAGAGTCAGTGATCAAACTCCTGTCTACCTTATTAGAAGCAGATCTGAATCTTACTCAATTCTTGGTCTGATACTAGAAACTTCTGAACACCTCATGTGGAATTCTTGTGTCTTTAATGCTTGAGATTTAAGGGTCTCATTGGGGTTACTTAAAAGATCTATGCTATTAGTTACTTCTGAAACAATATTTTTAAAAGTTTTTTTTTGCCTATACTTATGCTTCTTTTTTTTGCATTATTATAGTTCAGCTTATCGAGCAGATGTTAGAGACTATGACAATCGAGTGCTCCTGAGATTCCCCCAAAGAGTGAAAAATCAAGGCACATCAGACTTCCTACCAAGCAGACCCCGATATTCATGGGAGTGGCACAGCTGTCACCAGTGAGTGAAGTGCCCAGTATGGTACCTTCTAATTATAATTAACATTTTGCTATTGAAAAAGATAATGTGACATGTTCTAGAATTGCAGTGAAATGGGGAAGAAGTAAGGAAACCTTATTTTACTGGCTCACCCATTTTATGGTAGTGGTAATTATTCTTTACATAGTTGCATGTTTCAAATCAAAATGGATGATATGAAGTTTATCTATAAATATAAAATTCTAAAAAGTATAAATTTTGTATCAATATAAATCTCAAATTAGTTTTGACAATGGGACCATCTCCATTTAATTATATTTTATATAGATTACTATTTGGTTACATTTAAGTGAAACCAGTAAATAAAAATCTCCATGTGTTAATTACTGTGTAGGCACCAAAATGTACATTTACTAACATGTTCCCTATAATTCATCATTTTAAACATGAAACTATTCCTCTTGGTCTAATTTTCATGGGTTAGTTTTTGACAAGCAACATTCTAATCAATATAGGAAAGAGAAGGTATTGAGTTGATTGACTTCATTATCAATATCCATATCATATGATATTTCCACATAGCAGTATTGCTCTTGAAAGGCAAAATTTCTGGAAACAAGGCAAGACAAACATAGGAGAACATTCCCAGTGTTTTGGGAACAGATAACACTGCAGGCTTATATCATTTATGAAAATTTGTGTGCAAGAGTTTGCAGTTTAGCTCTAAGTTTAGCCATTTCATAGCAGGACCAATTGTAAAATACTAGAAAGCTTACCTTATTTCTAACTTACTTAAAATATTATCCCAATGTCACAGGTGTATAAGTGATTATTTAGTATTACTCTACTGTAGAAATAAATGTGTAATGTGGGCTTGATCTAAAGCCTGCTGGAGTCAATGGAATATTTCCCCCTTAAAGCATTAGGGATTTTAAGTTTATAGGGTTGTAATCAAACTCAGATGAAAAATCATTATAATTCAAACACTGTTTCAAAGAAAGGATAATATTGCTAGCTTACAAGTCTTGTAAGGATCAGAGAGCTAAAACCAAATCAAACAAACAATAAGTCTCTATAAATGCTTTAGTTAACACTCCCCCATCACCCTGTAAACTCTTACCTGGTGATTACAAAGATGATAGTGGATAAAATAGAGAGAAATTGAGAATTGTTTGTAGAACAATTGATTGTAGAAATTGATTATTTGTAGAAAAAACACTTTCTTACTCTGCCACTATAGCCCAGCTATAACTACCTAGATGTAAAGCATCTCTGATGTTAATTCAGTTCTCTGTCAGAAAACACACTGCCAACAACAACAACAAAAAATCCATCTCATACTCATTTCCATGACACTAAAGTCCATTTAGAAATGAACTATAACTATCAATTACTTTGGCCAGCCATCAGATTTCAGTGTTAGTCATCTTCTGTAGACCATTCTTAGTGATCTTGTCTTGGAAACTTAAGACTTATATGCTTCTCTTCATTTAAAAGAATATGATTGAGTTCTATTTAATTACATCTTTTTCATATACTTGCTGGGCTCATAGTGTCCATAGTCAACAGTAGTCAAATGCTACACAGACAAGGTGCTGTGATAGTACAAATTTACTTTTCCACATATTTGGAAAAAAGCAAAACTTTAAGAACAACATCTGTTCAGGTTCACAGTAAAAGTTAAAACTTATATTTTTCTAGCTTTCATATATAATATCAGCTCAGGCTGAAAGTATATATGCTTTTCAAGCAATGAAACCACATTAAGTACAGATTACAGTAAATAGTATCATTATACAGTTTCCATTAGTTCTTAATAGTTAACAAGTTAAGAGATCTGTAATGTCGGTACACAGAGGTGGATTTTTTTATGCAGAATGTGTTTTCTCTAATATTATAAATGCATTAAATGTGTTGAAGACCATAGAAATGGGACAATAATTAACAAGCTAACTTCCCTGGAATTTATAATATATAAGGTAAGCATTTCTAATCAAACTGTGCCCAAAGGGAAAGCTTAAGATACACAGTCAAATATGAATTATTTAACGTTACTGTAAAAGAAAGAAGGGGAAACTTTGAAAGAAAGCGTGCTATACATAGTCTTTCCCTCAACAAAATAAAACTTGCTATTTTTTTCTTTTTTCTTTTTTTTTGTAGCAGATAGCATTTTTATAGTCCCTGCAAATTAGAATAATGAAAAAAAAACTTAATTGAATGGTTTGTAAGAGGAAAATATACTAACACATCAGTTCTGCATAATAAAGAAAGTTTGGTCAGATTTGTTGGAAGGTCAATCAGATAGTAATATAACAGAATGATATTGGCAACATCTGATCCATCTTTAATAACATATCCATGGTCTCACAGACATTATCACAGCATGGATGAATTCAGCCACTATGACTTGCTGGATGCAAGCTCACACAGAAAAGTTGCTGAAGGACACAAAGCAAGTTTCTGTCTGGAAGACACATCCTGTGACTATGGCTATTACAGACGATATGCATGTACTACACATACGCAGGTAAGAGGTGGTTCAGAGATAACCAATTTTTTTTCCATTAAAGTTTATCTTCGTGTATTTTTCTATACCAATTCAGTCTGAGTCATCTGATGCCCTAAATATCTCTGAAATTCTCCATCAGAAAGGCCAGGGTAACAACCTGGAGAGTGTTGCCTGACATTGGCAATCG